GGGCTTCAGACTGGCAGGGGGGAGCAATGGAAGGGAAGAGGCAGCTTCCTTTCCAAGTCAGTAGCAAGGAGTACAGGGCTGCAGTCAGTTCACAGCTGCGACAATGACCCACACTTACTAATCACCTTCTCCCCACTTTCTTGGGTCCCGGTAGTTTCAGTTGGATATACTATAAGAGGAAATCTTTATAGAGGGTAGAGCAAGGGTCTGGGAGGCAGATGACCTGGGCTGTATTCCCAGGCCTGCCACAGGCTTGCCATGCGACCCTGGCAGATTCACTTAACCTCTGCATGCACCAGTGCTTTGCCCTGTGCAAGATGGGAACAGTAACCCCTCCAGTTACTAACAAGGGAGTTGACAGATGCCTAGAAATACTGGCCAGAAGGGAGCACGAGGTTGTTTAACGTGTTCTCTTTTTCATCACAGGCCATTAAGTGTCACACAAGCTCCCCGGACAACCTGATGGCTTTAGTCACATTAAATATTCCAATAGTGGTGGTACAAAAGGGAGGAAAGGGACACATGACCCTTAGCTATGCAACACAGGACGAGAGTGCAGAAGAGCCCCCAATGCCACCAAAGCCAAGGCCCTGCAGCGGCAGGCGAGTGACCAGATGAGCTCTGTCCACGTGATCCCTGCCCCAGGCTGCAGAAATGCATCTGTGGTCCCTGCCAGCCTAACAGAGAAAATTCCTCCTGACCTTTATTTTGGTATTGAGCATGACCAAGACACACCGGCCAGGCACCTGAGAGCATTCGTGGCCCCACATGCAGCACTGGCTTGCGTTGCAGGACTAACTCCAGCTGTGACCATCTCTGATGCTAAAAAAAATGCACAGAAGCCAAGCTACAGGGGGGGAATTCCTTTCTGATCCCATTGTCCAAAGCCCAGCATTGATTTTAAACACAAAACATGTTGTCAGGCTCCATTTGGGGTCCATGCAAAATGCTGGAACTCCTCAAACAGGAGGCCAAAGTGACTAATAATGTTCTGATTTCTATTCCTACGTTCCAGGTAACTGCTAAACACGTTTGCCTGCTTCACTCCATGGAAAAGAGTAGGCTGCATGTTTCTGGACTGGGAAGTGTTTGCTATATTAGCAAACTGCTTCAAGAGAAAAGGTGCAGCAGAAACGGGGGTGGGGGGAAAAAAAAATCAATCACCCCCTCCTCAGCCGATACCCTCTTTGCTAATCTGTAGCTGCTAGGTATCCGCCATGCAGGTGGGACAGTGCTTTGTGTTTGCAAAATGCTTTGATACCCTTGAAAGGAATGAGAAACAGCAGCATAAGAAGCAGTGATAATAATGTTAAAACAGCATATTCTAAAAACAGCAGGGTGGTACAAGCTACAGGAACACCTAACAATGAGCTATCCAGGTCTCCAAAAAAAAACAGACCAAAAAGAGTCCTTTGCTTTCAAGAGAAAGTAACATTCATCTGTACTGACCTGGTGATCTGGACAGCATGAACAACCAACTTCTAACAACCTTAAGCCATGGCCTGCAGGTCACAAGATATTTAACAAGTTCAAAAGTCCCTCTAGAAAATGCATCACTGCAGAAGATATGGGGATGAGGAGCTTTTCAAAAGCACTCAGGCAACCGTCCATCTCCAAGGCTATTAAAATTAATGGGAATTTTGCTACCGGCTTCAGCGGGGGCTAGGGATCTACCAAAGGTCATGTGCTTTGGAAAACCCCACCTTATACCTTTGCTTCTGGACTGTACTGTTAGGCCAGGGCCCCAAAGTGATAAAATCCTCTTAAACTCAAGGTGAAAGAGCTGCCCAGGGCATCCCAGCCCTCCTTTTCACACTATCATTTCAGCAGCTGCCATCTGCACATGCAAGAGGAATAATACAGTGCCCCCTAGGCCATGAGGAAAGCAGACCGCCTCATGTGCAGATGCCATGGCCAGTGCGTGTAGGCCAAAATAAAGCTAGAGGAAAAGGCAAACTCGTGTCTAGAGGACAAGCACTAAAATGAACAGAGCGTGCCCTGCCGGGCCAATTTTGAGGCGGTCTCCCAAAATGCATGAGTTCAATGTATACTGCAGCAGTCAGTGTAGATGGACAAGCTGAGGAGCAGAAATGATAATGATCTGGAGAAGGCCACAGTGCACCAGTGTGGATGCAGAGCACAGAAGCACTGCTCTGGGTCAGTCTCCAACGGCAGCTCAGCTAATAAACAGTTTCTAGGATGTGTTGGAAATGGCTGTCCAGACATGGAACCACGTTTGATGCGGCAGGGCAAGGAAAAAGCTGGGACTCGCGCTTCAGCTGCAAACAGAGGAAGTCCGAAATGCTCCCCAGGATCAGCCTTCATGGAGCAGATTTCCCATCTCCCTCCACATAACACAACGCCTTGCAATGGCCAAACTCTTGCTTGCCAAGCCAACAGCACCGCTGAAGCAGAGTCGAAGCCTGAGAGCTTCCTCACGTGCAGCAGAATGTCGACCAGCTAGTCACAAGCGTGCCTGCCCAGGGCTCAGTCTGCCAGCCTCACCAGAGGGCTAAAAGCAGCTTGCAAGAACCAGGCGTGTTTTGGAGGAGAAAAGGCAGAAGCAGAGCTCTTCCAATTTCAGCCACGTGCTGAAAGGTTCAGTGTCTTTTAAGCCAAGGCCTCCTGGGGGCAGGGGGCTGCTTTGATCTCTTCCAGGAGAGATACTAAAGAGATGGCAGCAATCTTGCAACCATACAGAGCTCTATCCCAGCAGGTAGAGATGACACTTCTGTAGGTCAGGCCCAAGCACATGCAAGCTCAGCAAGAGATAAACATCGCATCATCAGGGCCCTCTGGATTCGCTCGGTGCCTCACAACAAACACACTCTCAAACCACAGACTGCTGCATTTCATTAAAGCAGGCGTTTCAGCCTTTTGTTCGATTCCCTGGTTCCCATGGTGTGCTAGAGAACTGTGGGGGTGGATTTTGCCCCATGCATATTAGAAAGCACAGGGACTTTAAAATGACTTGTAGCTTTGTCACATTCCCTTGGCTCAGATAATCTGAGAAGCCTCAAATAATGGCAATCACGTGTCAGTGGGAAGCCATGGGCAATCACAGGAGGCTGTGATGGGAGCAATGTGCTGGGACACAAATGCCGCCTTACCTGAAAGCCGAGTCCTCGAATCTAGTGTGCAGCCAGCTGATGGAGTCGCTGTGTTCATCCGTGACAACACGTAATCTTTGTGCTCTGGCTCCTCCGCGACCACTTGCACTGCTTGGACCTCAGAGTGCTTCCATGGGCAGTCAACTAAACAAAACAGAAAAGACATCTTTAATTGCCGAGAAGTACTTGTAGTTGCTTAACTCCTTGGAGAAAAGGCCACTCGATTCAAGTACCCCAGTCATCTTCAACGTACTTCTTGAGCTCCAAGTCTACTGAAGCAGAAGAACTGCTGTCTGTATACGCCATTACCAGACAGAAGCCTGCCCTTCACCCCTTTATCCTTTGGAGTATCCCGAAACCAAGGCATCACACAAGAAATGCTTTCAAAGACATTCTGTTCAGAAGCAAGCCTGATAATTCACACGAAGAGTCGGGAGACCATGAGTCTCTCTCACTGTGCAGTCAGTCAATGTGGGCCGATTAGACACAAGTCCAGCACATTAACCAATACCCATTTGAATGACAGCTACACGATGCTCAGCTACAATACAATCGCCTACTCTCGCACCCAGGAAAAACATCAGGCTTGTAATGCTTCCCATTTCCTTTCTGATTTCATTTACCTTCATTTCAGTGGTTCAGAGGAGCTCTCAAGACTATAAAAAATGGGAAGGAGTACCCTGGCTTGCTTTTATTACGAAGACGAGCACCCCAAAACCATTCCCAAGTTGTACATACCTTACGGGTCAAGTATTCTGCCACCCACCACTATCCTGAGCCCCAAATTCTCTGGGAAGCTCTCATGTTTCTGCTATAGAAACCAACCAGATCTCAAGCTTTCAGTGACTTACAAAAGAAGTGAAAAGGCCATTGCAGTCACCTTGGATGATCACCTTTTAACAATAAGAGTTAAATTCAATTAAAAACAACCTTTGTTCCCTCCACTGGAACCAAGCACTGAGAGAGGTAGTGAAATCTCCATCATCCAGAGTTTAAGTGCAGGCTAGACAAACCCTTGTCTAGAAGGGTTTCCAGAAGAATGATCCTGCTTTGAGCAGGAGCTTAGATGAGCTGACCTCTTGAGGGCTCTTCCAGTCTTATTTTTCTATTCCCAGAGAACATGGGACATTTCTGCATTATTTAAGAATGATGCATCATTTTCTTGTCCTGCTTACTACTGCCTTGTTATTGCCCAGGCCTAAGAGAGAGAATTTCTTCTCTCAGGCAGAGGATAAGCAATGAAGTGACTGTGGGCACTTTCAGAGTACTGCAAATGGTCTATCAAGACTCATCGATGTACATCTATAGCAACCCTGGAGATGGACCTGTGGACCAGCAGCCAGACTATTATGCATTAATGACTGCCAGGAAACTGGGAGAGACACCCAAGAAAACACTGGGACTGAATTGCAGACAAAGCTGTGCTGCTACCAGACTGCAGCGAGATCCCTTTGTCATGCTCTAATACAAGGCAAACACAGGATGTTTAGGCGCTGAGAGTGGTCGTGCTCCTAGCATGCAGCAGACCTTCCAGCCCATGATGAAGCAAACCTGGCCTGCCCAAATAAGCAGAAGTTGGCAAGCAGGATTGAGAGATATCTATGTAGGGTTTCCAAGCCAGCTTTTCTACATACTGCAGGTCAAGGAGACTGAATCTGGACAAGCCTTTCCTGGGTCACTGCAAACAGCTGGATTCATGGCTCCCTGCATGGCAAGAGGTCCAAGCTCTTTGGGATCATCTGGAGGCACCACTGCAAGAAATAGGTGCTGAGGCCAGGACCCAGTGTCAGAGCAGCGGCGTTTCGTTCATACAAAACACTCTGGCATCTTAGCCCTGCACGAGCTGCAGCCCCCTCCGTAAAAAAAAAATGCATGGGAAATGGAGCGTGCGATAGGCCTAACAAATGGGAACCTCCGTCTAGAAACCTTGCTAGGAGCTAGGATTTTCCAAGAGGCTCCAACTTTCCAGCTGCACAATGTTAAAAGCTACTTATAAACTAGTTATAATGGACAATTAAAAACAAAATTAAGATCATCATTGTTCACAGAAAAAAAGCAGCAGCATTTAGTTTCCTCCAAAATCCCTGAGTTCTGAGAATTTATTTGAAAAATAAAACAAGCCTTTGGTTTTAAAAACAATCCAGAAAAAGAGAGAGATTTTTTTTGATCCAATTTCTAGGTGATCCTGATAACTGCAATGAAGCATCCCACGCCCTTGGCTGCTGCGTGCTGTTGGCTTACATCTGCGCATCTGCAAATGGTTCACTGGCCGCTTGCAAGTCCTAAACTCTTCCTAAAACCCCTTTGATCAAAAGGGGTTTTACCAAGTACACCTCACACTAGGACATGAGCTGTGTTGGAAAAGGATGATACAGAAGAGTTGAACAGTAAAACAGCAAGCAGAGAAAACCATCTCTGCTTGCGATGTTTGTGTCAGGAATAATTATGTGAAAATAAACGGAATATTTAAAAGGTGAAATTATTAGAGACAAAGGGCTCCTGCACACACGTAGGGATCCTGCTCCGACACGCTGCAATTCCAGCACGTCAAAGCAGACTCAATTAAGTCAGCTGGAACGTGGTAATTACTGCACTCCAGCATCACATGTATCAGCATCCCCGCGCTGAAAAATGGTGGCGGGGTGCTTTAAAAGTACAGCTCATTCAACAAGCTTTAGTTCAAAGTGCCCCGCTGTCATTTTTCAGTGCAGGCATGCTGATACACATGACGATCTGGGTGCTTTTAAAGCATGGTGCTAATTAAAGTACCCCCCCCATGCCTCCCAGAGCACGAACATAAATGCCCAAAGTGAGGAACAGACGGCTGATGGAAGATGAAGCTAGGTGTGTATAAGCAGGGGAACCGTAGAGACTAACTGGTTCAGAGAGGCCTGAGCTTTTGTAGGCACCAGCGACTTCATCAGATGCTAACACAGCATCCGTATCTGTGCAGCACACTGAACAAAATGGGAGGAAATGGCGCAGGGTAGAGTCCTGCCCTGGGGAGATGAGCTACTTAACAGCTGCACGAAGTGACAAACTATTGTTTGTATTGCAGTAATATCCAGGGAGTCCAACTGAAGCCGACGACCGGTTGTGCTAGCGACTGTATGAACACCCAGGAGAAGATGAATTGCATCTTGAGCAGCCTAGGACCTAGAGAGACAAGTAGCAGGTGAAAAAAGGGAAGAGGAAAAGGGAGATGAACCAGGATGCCCATGGACAAGGCCCAGTTCAGTGCCACGTGCCGCCTCCATGTGCGGAGGGCATCAAGGCGCTGGAGGGACATGTTCAGAAAGATGCAACAGGTTTGACGAAACAGGTCTTGCCATGGGCTGACTACGGCAACTGGAAGAGCACGATGCCAACAGTAGCGAAAAGGTTGCTTCTTTTCAGAGCGCCTGCTCCTGTCGCTTGTTTAAACTGTCCTTATTTCAGAGTGGAGGGCCATTGCAGGAGTTACATGGAAAGACAAAGTCAGACGGCTCCTTTCCGAGCCCAAATCCGGGGACTAGGAGAGGCATTTGGAAGTGGGAAGCAGGAGGCACCAGCAATGGAGAGCTTTGGACAATCGGCTTGCCTCAGAGGGGACAGACATCTGGTGCCTGCCCCTACCCCATAAAAGTCCCAGCTGACAAAGCACCACAAAGAAATCCCTCAAGAGTACAAGAACAGAGAAAAACCAACCCAAACTGCCTTCAATGCTGGCCCCATCTACTATGCAGTGGAGACCTTGCAGGGAGGCAGGATAGCCCAATGGGCTAAGAATGGGTGCAAGAGCCTTTAGCTGCCAAATCCTAGTCTTTGGTCCGTCACCAGGGAAAGCCACTTAACCTGTGTGATTTAATGTCCCTAGCTCAACTCCGGGTCAAATGTTTCCTTGCTTCAGCCAGCAGCTGCAAGAAGGAACACACTCTGAAGATGCAAAGGCAATGCATCTGAACAGATCTTCCCCTTGAGCCTCAGATCCAGCCTCTCTCAGCCCCTCTCATCCTATTAGCCAACTTCCCGGGGTTTCTTTTCCCTTAATTTTTTTCTTTTTTTTTTTTTGGCTTTCAGACGTTTCCTGGGCCAGCCATCCCTCCACACCCTTTTCCTGAGAACAGGAGCCCTGCCAATGCAACACTGTCCAGATCCTGGAGATGTTGAAAAACAGCAGCAACGCAAGAGGATAGAGTGATCATGGGGAAAGTGAAAATCCACAGAACCGGATGAGTTCCCACAACTCCTGCGCCAACATTATGAGAGAGCCCAATGCAGTGAAAAACAGCTGGTTACATGGAAACTCGCATCATTTTTTTTTTTTTTTTTTTT